TTGCTTTAAGACATGAGTACATAAGACAATTAATTTCGGATGGAATTATTACTGTTGTGTACATCAAGTCTATAGACAACCTTGCTGACCCATTAACTAAAGGACTCGCGAGGGATATGATAATAAGCACAACAAGTGCTATGGGTCTAAGGTAATTTAAATTTGTCACTAGTAACAGGAACCTTACCTTTCTTATTGTTCAACAATATTAAAGGTTTAAAAGGTAATAACAAGTTATAGTTGTGACGGATAGCAGGTACTGGAAATTAGTACCTAGAAAAGGAGGATGAGTATAAAAAATACTCTTAGTGAAGAAGCAGAGTTCGGTTTAGGAACTAAAGAAGTCCGTGTTAAGGATTTGGTTAAATCTTCACCTATGTAAACGCAAGAAGTGGTGCCGCTTCGATCAAAGTTTGGGAGACAAAACTTGATAAGTGTTTATGAATTCAGGAAGTAGCACAAGGCCATAATTGGGTGCTAAAACTCACGGTGAACAAATTGTGAAGTTGGTACGATTTATGTGTATAAAGATTTTCCGTCTTGTCAAATAGGAATTGTGGTTAAATAGAACTTAATCTAACCATCAATTTCGACAAGGTCTTGAATAGTTTATACGAGTAGTAGGTTTAAATCAAAAGATACCTACTATACGCATGAATCTTATAAACAACATCAATCACTAACTAAGTGGGGGATTATTATATTAGTAAGTATTTTGATGGGAGTATTTTAGAAGAGGTTGCTTTGTCCCTCATTGAAAAAAGAAAGAAAGAAAGAAGTGTTTAAAAACACTTCTTTGTCTTACATGATTTGAATAATTTAAAGATGTTTTAGAGGGAACTAGAATTTGGCTATATTATTAATAGTCAAGATTGGGCACTTGGGCACTTGGGGCTTTGGGCCAATTAAATAGCCCGAAATTTCTTTCTTTTAGTCATCTATTAATTTTATTAATTAAAAAAACGTTTTAAATATTAAAACGTTTTAATTTTAAAAAGAGGTGACTTTTGTTTTAAAGGTGCCTATTGGCAAAGGTTGAGTCTGTTAGTCCTAACAGACACCTAAAGGGTTTGAAAAGAGGTGACTTTTGGTATTAAAAGGTGCCTATTGGCAAAGGTTGAGTCTGTTAGTCCTAACAGATACCTAAAGGGTTTATAAATACCCTTTTCTTCTCCAAAACAAAAATCATCAGAAAAGCAACAAAGTATCTTCTTCTTTTCTGCTATCTTCAATTTACCAAATTTGTTCAAGCGGAAATTCGAGTTAGTTGCTGGTGCTCGAATTTCAGAGGCTTTGTAAAATCCTGGAGGAATTCTGCCATAATCCCTGCAGCAACGAAATTGGGAGGCATAAATTCCTTAAGGACAGTGACTACACTATCAAAGCCTAATTATTTCGTCCCTATATTCTGTTATATTTTCTAACACTAGTAGCTTTAGAATGTGCGCAATAGAGTTTAAATCATTGTATATTTAGTCATTAATTTACTCATAATATATTAGCTTTTTTTAATATTTAATTAGTGAGATATGCATATCTTTTGAGATTTTAAATTTAAATAATTTTCTTTTATATGTAATATTAAAAAAAGAAAAAAAAATCTTTTTCATAATTTATCTATAATATCCAAAAAATGTTTAAATATCAATTATTGTTATGGACATATAACAATTATTCATTATAAAAGTATAAAAATGTCGGAACAAATGATGTTGTAATATAAAGATCTGACTGTATATATGGGAGTTAGAAGGGCTTCTCTTGGAGGAATCAAAGACCATCTTCTCCAATTTAGTTTCCACATTTTCAAACAAAAAGCAAAATAGGAAAATTAACGCATCCATTGACCCATTTAACGTGCGAGGTTGTGAATCTTTACTTTGAAGAAATGATAAGATAAGTCCAGCCCTGGAGGAAAGGAACCAAAGTAAGGTATAAAATTATATTTGAAAAAGTTAAATAATTTGAGCATCAAATACTTGTGGCTATTATATAATTAGATTAATAAAAAATAAAAAATAAAAGATAAAAAATAAAAAAATGAAACGTGGAGATAGGATAAGAACACTTTCTCCTCACAAGTTACGAATGGTGCAACAGGAAACATATACAATGAATAAAAAAAATTATTTTGTGAATCCTATTCAGCCTACATCGTCTGACCAAATATTTCTAACTCACATGAGGCGCAACTCAGACTCTAATTCAGCCTGGTCATATCTTACTACAATATAGTATCTTTTTCAACAACAATATCAAATTTTAAAATTACAAGGGTCAAGGGTCTCCCAATTTAAAACGTGTGGATTTCAGCCTCTCTAATTAAACTGACTTCATAATATTCCTTGTGTAATTATACTCATCTTTAGAATAATATGTTACAATTAATCATACTATGACTTATGAGTTTTGGCCTCTAGAATATTTCCTTATGAGAATTACTTCGTCCTATTCAAGGTAGGGCTGGGCATATATCGGGTAAAACCGATAACCCGAACTATTAATTGTTTATTGGGTTATCGGTATCCGGTTATTGGGTTAACGGTTCGGTAACGGTTTAGAATTTTTTTACTATTGGGTTATCGGTTCGGGTATCGGTTTGCCAATTTTGTTAATGGGTTAACCGATAACCCAATAAGAATTAATAAAATTATGACTTTACCCTTAAGTATATACAAATGCTAGGGGCTTCAGTTCATTCTCTCCTATTCTTTCTCAACCCCACTCTTCAATTGCTTCATCTTCATTCTTCATAAACCTTACTAGTTACTCCTAGCGCAAGTCTTTAGTATACTATATGTGAATTATTCTCTTTTTTGCTTAACTCCAGTGAATTGTCTTTTCTTTTTTGCTTAACTCTAGATTGAGTTATATATCTTATCGGGTAAGCCGATAACCGAACCGATAATGATCGATAACCGATTAACCGTTACCCGATATCTTATCGGTTTTGTTATCGGTTTATCAAATTTGTAAACCGATAGCCGATATGCTAAACCGATAATATTCATAACCGAACCGAACCGACCGATGCCCACTCCTAATTTAAGGTGAAGATATAACAGAAGAAATTAATGGGAGAAGTATCAAAAAAGGTTGCACGTGCGAAAATCTAAAATGTATTGGGCTCACATACAATGAAGACTAGAGAAGGACTTTTATCTAATCAAATTTTAATTTGGAGCACGTGAATCATAATATATAGCAGGGGGTTAATAGCAGTCCTCTTCGTATTGTGAGAATTTTCCAAATAATAGACTCCACGTTCATTGAATTCTTTTAATGGTTTTAACGCGTCTTTTAAGAAATTATTTAATTACTTTAAACTATAAAATTATTTATGTAAACTGCCATTTTTCATTTTAAAAAAAAACTACCATAAGTTTTTCATAGGCTCCACACTTTTAATCCATAAGTTTTGGCATCTTGTTGTTGTAATGTTATTCCATTTTGTATGTTGCCCTTATAACCTTATTTGATCTTAACATCCAAACTGAAACAACATGAAAATTAGACATCAAGTTGCAGCCAATTGAATACTGCAACTCTTCTAATATAACAATAGCAGCTTAATCTTTTCACTAGTAACACATCTTAGTAGCCTCCACTTTATTGGCTTCTATTTGTACTTAAAACATTATATTGACACTTGTCCAACACTTTTGAAGAAAATCAAGAATTATCTCAATCAATTAGTGCAATGTAATTAATAAATTAATTCAACAATTGAAGTTTCTTATAGTTATCAATACCTACCTCTCTAGATTTTGAAAGGTTTATCATTTGTGTAATCAAATGTAGTTCGTTGCATATTGACAAAAAAATGTCAGGTGAAAAGTACTTAAAATAAAATCATGAAATTGATTTTGGGAAAGCAAGTGCATATTAAATAAGGCATTTTAACAAAACTCCATTGGTCATTGCTACGTGGCAAGGTTTGCCAACAAGGCAATTACTTTTTAATTTCCTATTGGATAAAAGGGTATATATTGAAAGGTTAATAGAGGATTAGGATGACACGTCAGTCTCAGAGTAAATAGAAACTTGGCCATTCCTTTAATTTATGGCCTTTGAAATTTTCTAAAAGCCGTTTATTGCCAATTCTCGACCTTGCCTGGCATTGACGAGGTGGTTTATCCAACTAAAGGGGACCCAGAAAATAAAACCACGAAAAGTTCAAGGATAAAAAAGGAAATTCATTTAAAACTCAACTAAATTGTCTCTCCACGCTCTCTTAAGCATGTTATCTTTCACGAATCACTATTTATGTTTTAGTCTTGGAGGTTGTTGTTCACGCACATTAAAGAGCGCGTTCAATACATTGAGAAAGGAAACTGTCCACGCTGTCTGCTCTTTTGCTTTTCTGTTGATGTGTCACGTTGCCTATATATAGGGGGACATGCGAACCATGATTCTCCACCGAAAACTAAAGAAAAACAAATTATACCCTGAGGAGGAAATTCATTGAAACGATATTATTAGTTTCCAAAATATTTGTCGATATGTCGCCTAATAACTTTGCCACCGATTTTGATGGAGTTTCCGGCGAATTGCCTGAAGCCGACATTCAAATCATAACCTCCGGCGGCCGCCGAATTCCGGCACATTCTACTGTTCTGGTACGAAATTTCTAAGCATTCGAGTTTTACAGATTCAATAAGATTTGATTGCCAGTCGAATCTTCATATTCGCGATTTAACGAACTTGAATTGTATTTTCAAACGGGCGAATTTAAAAGGGTATTTTCAAATTTTCAGTTCCAAAATGTGAATAGTACTAAATTTAGAATCAATTGATGGATAATCTGTGTCAATTTGCTAAAAGTACTGATCTTTGTGGCAAAATATTATTGTAGGCTGCGGCTTCGTCAGTTCTGGAGAGCATATTGGTTCGGCCGCAAAAGCGACGGAGCTCGGAGAAAACTATTCGGATTCTGGGTGTTCCATGCGACGCCGTTTCCGTGTTTGTCCAGTTTCTCTCTTCTCTCAAGTGAGTTTCCCGATACACACCGAATCCATTTTTTTCACCCGTGTTTTCGAACATTTCACGTTATTGTCATGAGTAGTTTACAACCTTTAAAACCTGATTGGCTTGAATTAAGTTAGACCTGAATTTTACTGCAGCTAAATTGACCATTAACAGTAGATTTTTTCCCTTTGATTAAAAGATAGGTAACTGGCCCTAAACCAAATCCCTGTCTCCTATTTATTTATCGTCTTACACATGGTACAATCATTGCCTCATAGATTAATTAATCACATGTTTCTTTTCCTTAATAGTATTCTATAAAAGACTCAAGCACCCGCGGTTCTATGTTTTCCGCTATTATTGGAGGAAAGAATATCTTATTAAATAAATATCTTGGTGTCTGGAATTGACCAATTTATCCTTGTGATCAGGTGCAGTGAAGAGCAGATGGTTAAACATGGAATTCATCTTCTAGCACTCTCTCATGTGTATTTGGTACCACAACTAAAGCAGAGATGTACAAAGGGGTTAGCTGAGCAATTGACCATTAAAAATGCGGTAGATGTGCTTCAACTGGCCAGGCTCTGTGATGCACCCGATCTTTATCTCAAGTGCTTGAAATTTATATCAACCAATTTCAAGAAAGTTGAGAAAACTGAGGGTTGGAAGTTCCTCCAAGATCATGACTCTCTGCTTGAACTTGAAATTCTGCAGTTCATGGATGAGGCTGACTCGGTATGTTTAAAATTACTTCAGCATAATTCCTCTTTGGTTTTAGATTGGCCAATATCAGATTAAAGTAATTTTTATCATGAAAATCTTGTACTTTAATGTTAAAGTTTGTCACTTGATAGTGAAACAATAGGATTCAAAGAAGTCTTCGTACAATCTTGGCACATTTGTTTGCATCTTCTTTACCATTCAGCGAATGTTTACTTAATCAAATTTGGAATTTTGTTATTACAGAGGAAGAAGAGGACAAGAAGACACAGGCGGGAGCAGAACTTGTATTTACAGCTAAGCGAAGCGATGGATTGTATAGAGCACATATGCACTGAAGGATGCACCAGCGTGGGGCCATGTCATGAGGAGCCCTGCACAAAGAAGCTTCCATGTAGCAAATTCAAAACGTGTCAAGGCGTCCAGCTCCTTATTCGACACTTCGCTACATGTAAGAGAAGGGTGAATGGAGGTTGTTTGCGATGCAAAAGGATGTGGCAACTCCTTAGATTGCACTCTTCTATTTGTGACAAACCTGATGAATGCCGAGTACCACTGTGCAGGTAAAAAAAGAAGTTGCAACTACTTTGTTGTTCTTTACAATAACTCCATTTTATACTATGAACATCGGCCTCGCAACATTTCCATGTGAATTATCAGGACAAAGAGTTCATTTAATTGATTTGTCTTGATAGAAAAAACAATGAAAGTGCTGTCCTGGACTTGTCCATTTCCTCTTCCATGATCGCCTTGTTGTGACACTTTTTCATTTAGATTCTTTGGTAGCTGAAACGTCTCTTTCTGTTTTCCTGTAAAAATCATCTTCAAAATGTTCTAATAGCCTTACAATACGTTGGACTGGATAAGGTCGAAACTCTTACATAAATATCAGATTTAAATAACGTAGTTTGCCCTAGCTCTTTATCAGTAGGGCCAATTATTTTTCTTTTTTGTCCTTGGTATTATTGAGTCTCTAAATATGTCCAATTCTACATTACAGACAATTCAAAGTGAAGGTGCAACAAAAGGGAGATGATGCGCTATGGGAATCACTCGTTAAAAAGGTGGTGTCAGCCAGAACCATATCCTCATTATCTCTGCCCAAAAGAAAGAGAGAAGAGGAACCAAAGATGAACTTAGACCATCATCAAGCGAGAAGCTTGTCGACAACTCGGTGTCAGTAGTTTGGAAGTTTAGTAGTACTATATAATCCGAGAAGGAATTCCAGGTAGAATATTAGTGGAAGCGCAACGGTTTTTGTTGTTATTATATATGTTCTGCTATAGTGATTTTACTTAATGTGTCAGTCCTGAGTTGGAGAAATCCTCTGTAAATGCGGGGGTTCAACAGTAGAGTTGTATAGGAATGAATTTTGTACATGTAGTGGATGGCCGTCAGTTGTATCTTCCTCCGTTTTGCTTGATGATCAAGTAAATTGGTGAGGTAATTTATTGTTATTGGCTTCAATCTGTTCCAGTTTGGTTTCTTTTACACATATTAGATTGCGAACAAACCCCAAAATACTCGAGTTGAAGGGAAGAGAAGTGGAGGAACCAATTAATGCATAAACAGAACTTGTAAGTTGTAGAGGAGAGCCCCCTACCCACCCACCAAAAAGAGAGAAAATGAAGGAGAATATAAGAAATGGGAAAGAAGACCCCATTATGACGTTGGATTTTGCAAGTTGAAATACTTTGAACAAAACTGGCCACAGACTGTGGTTTGCTTGAAGCAGACTGTGGTTTGCTTAAATTCCCTTAATAAATCTTTTTGAAGCAGATTGGTCCCTGAAGACTTTGGGATCAGTACTTGAGAACTTTATCACGACTCTATCAAAAAGATTACTACTCTAGATCAATCTTAATTAGCAAAAAAATAGTACTGAAATGACTAAGTAATTCGTTTGACACTGAGACACGGGTGTGTATTTTGAGCTAACAACTAATTACCAGTTTGATGCCTATCTTCAGGCATCAGACCAAATTCAGCTCTATTCACGTAACTAATACTCAAACATAGAATATTGTCAATATATTTGTTGTGGAACAACGGAAATAGCTAGTACATATTTAAGATTATTATTATATTATAATTTAAGATTATATAGAAAATACATGGAGTTAACTATGGTTAAATACTACGTAAAAATTGCACGGGGCGCCCTATTTGGTCGCCCCCATTTAACCTATACCCATTTTTTAAAAAAGTTTTAACCTGTACCCACTTTTTAAACAACTTTAGCCCCCTTTCTCCTCCTCCTTCTCCTCCTCAAAGTTATATCCGCCCTCAACCTCTTTTTGAAGTTGCACTGCACAAATTGTATTTCTGTCAGTGCAGAAGAAATAAATAAGAAAAAAATAGGAATATACAGTGCAATTTCGCATCATAAATGCCTCTCCGAAGAATATCGAAGTCTTGTTGCTTGATTGAATGGTGGCAATAGATGATCTGTTAAATGACGAAGCTACAGATCCTATTTGATAATGCATGGCATTAGCACCAGCATATTGGTTTATGTAAATTGTTAAAAAGTTTCTTGCTTTATCAAATATCGATTAACAGTTCCTTTGGATGGTTTAGTTGTTGAACTAATAATCCAAATAATTGGTCCAATTAGAGAGTTAAAAGATGAGGTATCCTTGCTGTTGAATGCTTTATGTGACAGTAAAGCAGCTATTTTCATGTTTTCGTGACAGTACCATTATGAAGGTAAGAAGACTCTAGAGCTGAAGTTTACCAGTTACAAACAAAAACTTTCGCCAGTTACAAAACAAAACTTCAGCTCTCGCCAGTAACAAAACAAAAACTTCAGCTCTAGAGCTGAAGTTCACCAGTTACAAAACAAAAACTTCAGCTCCAGAGCTGAAGTTCGCCGGTTACAAAAAACAAAAACTTCAGCAATTACAAACAAAAACTTCAGCAAATAGAGAACAAAAGTTCAGCTACTATACTTAAGTTCAGTAATTACAAACAAAAACTTCAGTCCCGTCTACTAGAATGCTGAAGTTTTGCGTGATTGTCTTTGCTACTTCAGCCCCGTATACTGAAGTTACGCGAAAAAGTGGGTACGCTTGCAATTTTTTTGCAAAGCGGGCACAAGTTAAAACGTGACCCAAAAAGCGGGTATAGATGCAAATGCCCCAAATACTACTAGTACTAGTTATATAATAAATAAGGTGACAAGTGTCATTTAATTGTTGACTTGGTGTATACACCGAGTGGGGGTAAATTTTTTCCCTCACTTTACGAGTAGGATAAGCCTAACTGCTATCGCCTAATCACCTGATAGAGGATGCCTAGTTTCCTCAAAATGGCCAATGCATATACTTGCATTCTCTGTGTCCTGGATTCTAATGCTGAAATATAATAGTACACATTTTTTATGATTAAAGAAGTGTACGGTTTAACTTTCTATTTGAACGAGATGTTTATGCAAATCTATCGTTGGTCCAGCCACAATTTGCTAACGATGCTTATATACTTTTTATTAAATAATAAAAAATGATACTTTTTCGTGCAAGTTTGTGGCTATTATCAAAGGACTCAACACTATATTCCAACTTGCAATATGAAATTGCTCTAAGAAAATATTTGGTTGAAAAGGTCATATATTATATACTCCTAGTAGATTAGGAAGGATTACACATGACACTCGTCAGACAATGACATAGTTATTTTAATCTGGTTCTTATCCATAAATCTCTCCTTCGGATTAAATATACGCATAGACTTGTTTGAGTAGCAACATAACTATATTACGAAATTACAAATTAAATAAAATAAACAGAAGTAAGTGACTAACTTTTACAATATTTTGGTTTAGTAAAAGGTCAAGGGATATTTCACAATACTTATCGCAATTGAGAAGAGGTCAGTCTAGAAAATAGAAGTAGTGGATTTCATGATTTAAAAGAAGAGACAATAAACATAAAGGAGTAAAAGAAAGAGCCATTTTTGTTTCTTTTCCTCAAAACAAGGAATGAGACCCTACGTACCCCTTAGATTGATGTGTGTTTTTTTGTCTAATTGCCCATTAATGCTCCCAAATACTCTAGCACAAAGGGCTTTAACATCATTATTACTATTGAATTTCCCTGGGGACAAAAGCACTTTTTGTTTTTGATAGTTTCCACTTGCATGCTTTGCCTAGTAATTAAAGGTTTCTAATAAAAACTAACTTATTTGGTGATGCTTTAGGTCACTCTCGTACACTTGGTGTGGTTGAAAGGTCTCTTTTGTTCAGCAATCGTGCTCAAACAATCATCACTTGATTATAATTAATAGATGAAAAAGTTTGATATATTCAGAGGCCTTTTGATTTTTCTTCCTTCAAACTTTTTTCTTCTAAGAAATATCCTATGTTGACTTCTCCTTTTCTTTTTAATCATTATTATTAGGAGTATTAGTAGTTTTTGGGTTTTGCCCTGACAGAAATCTTGATAATAAGGCCATATAGTTCACATTATGAAAGCTGCGTTCTTTAATCTAAAATTCGAAATGCTGTATTTCATAGCTTTATTGGATCCTGTTGCATATTCTATATTTTCTTACTTTCAAGGGGCGTACAAACCAAATAGGAAAACCGCACCAAACCGAAAAGTCAAATTAAACCGATTAAAAAACCCGACTAGCTTTGGTTTGATTTGGTTTGGTATTGAATAAAAAAAACCGAATATATAATTTTGATATATTCTTTCAAAATTTTATATAGAATTTTCTTTAAAAAATATCTAAAAATATTTGGGATTCTCTTGCGGGATATAATATTTAATAGTATATGAAGTGCTTCATATTTCTTAATCTTAAATAGTGGGTTGTATGATCACTTTCTCATCAAGTGTTACTCAAATGCGTCAATCCCTTTGTTCTTCCATATTCATATCATATGTTAAGATCTATTAAATTGTTATATCTTTTTCGAATGTGAAGTGATTATTATTATTTAGGTATCATATTGATTTTTATGTTTAATTACTAAATTCGGTTAACCTTGAAAGCGTAAATCAACGAAACATTATTGTCAGATGACTAAAAAAATAATTATATTACTAAGAAAATTCTCTCATAAGAATATTTTAATAGATAATATGTTTGTCAATTTTTTTTTTTTATATTTTTACTAAACATATATTTACTTATCAAAAATTTAACAAAGTTATATTGAAATAATATTTAAGTAACAAACAACCCGAAAAACCCAAAAAATACGACAAAACCGAACCAATCCAAACCGATATAATTGGTTCGATTTGGTTTTGATAAAAACCGAACCAACCCGGTCCATGTACACCCCTATTCAAGTTTTTTTTGTTTTTTTTCTTCCACTCTAATCTTTATGAAGCATTTTATATTAAAAATATGCCGTGATGATGAACACAATTACCTCGTCAAAATAGCGTGGCATAGCCACTTTTACGGGTGGCTTTCGAAAAATAGCCACCGTCCGTGATGTCATTGATTTCTAGCCATTTTAACTTAAAATAGAATGTAAAATGACATTATTGCCCTTGCACGCTTTAACATACTCTTTAGTAACTTTTTACTCTTTGTTTGCACAGCAGCGCGTGCGGCTTTCGTCAGAGCACTTTTTTTCAAATCCTTGATCGTTTTAGCTCTAATTTTCTTCAAAATTCTCTGGGTGAGTTTTGTTTTTACAATAATGTGTTTGATTCACGTTCTTATTGTTGTTTCGTTATGTTTAAGTTTGATTTACCGTACCG